TAAAACTTTGTATGTCTGTACACCCAGAGAAATTATACCCTGTAAGAAGTAAACACACAAGCTCATCAACAGGGGGGTGCAGATATAAAACTTGGAATGGCCCAATCCCCAGAGTTGTTTGTTCAATCTCTAGGTATGCTTATGTAATCATGGAGTTGATGAAGTGGTATCCTGAAGCTAATAAGAAATGATATGTTGATAGTTGTTTGTTCTACCACAGTATTTAAAGGGCGTGGCCGACACTCCAAGAAGTGGTCTGGCCCTGGTCTACCACGAATTACTGTAAAATACTTTATTTTTACTGTTTTTGCTGAAGGGATGATTCAGTGAAAATACAAATACAACTTTTTTCCTATATTTCACATTCAACTCATCAAAAATCAGTAAAAATAAATTCCATACAAAACACCTAAAAAGCCTTTTCAGCAAAAATTAATTCCAGCTAAAATAAAGTATTTTACAGTACAAGATAAAAACAATAAATTTGCTACACTAAGCCCTGATTTGTTTGATTACAAGCTAGATTCCTGCTACGTTAAGACCAAACATAAACAAACTCAAGGTATAGCAATAGCATGGCACCTCTCTACCCAAGTTTTTCCTTTTTATTCAATATTATATATACAAACGGCAAATTACTTGTATATTGTTGCATTTTAAGAGTTTCAACCAGGGCTGATGTTTCGACCTGTGGCTCTCTTCTATAAAATAAATGATTGATGAGTATTTCATAGTTCTGATTGTCATTCTCTTTACTCTAACAAACATTTAAATGACCTTGCAATTGATCTTCAGTTATTTGAAACAAGTACTGCTGCGGACATTAGTGAAGCCATACAGAAATATCTGCCAATCAGATCAAGCAAACAGTGGTGGTAACATACAAGAGAGCAACATTTACCACTTTTATTGTTAATATACGTGATGGACGGAAGAGAGATTTTCTTTCATCTTTCGTTGTGAAATTCACAATAGCAACCGAGCTCAGACGTAACAAAAACACAACCTGGAAGACGTATGATTTTAAGAAAAAAAATGTTCAAATCTAAGGAACATAAAGTTAATTAGTTAAACAAATCTGTTTTAGATCTGCTTTGTCCCATGTTCGTGTATCTACTCTATAGATGACTTTCCCGGAAGTAACAAGACTGGGGTGCAACAATACTCCTGCTTTGTCAGGCTGAAAAAAACAAACATGAAAGTCGTCTATCCCACCAGCATACGCTTCCACACTGATCGGGTCGCTGTAGTAGAGCGTACAGCAGATCCAATCGTAGACAAAATAAATTTGGTTTGCTGTCTACAACATGCATCAATAAAACTCTACATTCTGTTACGCCGCTGTATACTGGTTCTGTGCATCCAAATAAGTTGGGTCAGTCTTCTCTCGCGTTCCACTTCCTGTGGATGTCTCTTCAAAATGTCAGCAGCAGAAATTGTGTGTTCGTAAACAGCAGCTTAACAGAGGTCACATGTTCTAAGGACTGTCCCTCCCAGTACGTGGACGCAATTGGGTCTAGCCGAAATGCAAACATGTGAGATTAACCTAAATCAGCTTAAATCTTAGCCTGTACTTCATGTAGTGTGAACACTACTAATGTATGGCTGTAATTGCACAGTCATCTAACTCTGTTTATTCTGGAGTGGAAAATAACGATTTTTTGGGCCAGTAGACGAAACACATTGAGTGACGACACCATTTTGCATGGGCATTTAGATACCCAATTACTGAATATTTTCACTCTGTGGCCAAGATCATTTACCATTGAACTCTACTTAGGATTTTACCTAAATCTATGTTGATGGACTCTATTATGCATTCCAGATTTATACCCAATTAATAGCAAGCCTTTGCCTTCAGCCTATAACAGTCCTTTGAGCCTTTTTTAGTGTGT